TATTGTTTATGTACGTCATGACGGACGACATTCGGATGTTAATACCAAGGCTTGAGTTCCAATGCATGATGGAAGCTTATATTTAGACCTGTTCCCACTAAGCTGTATGTACTGACGTCTTACAAACATATGCTGTATAACTAATTTTATCATTGTAATAAATCCAGTTCCTACCGTTTAGCTCCACTTTACTTAATTATGAAAAGTGAATAGTTTCTTCAAAACACCAGTAAGAAGTGAGTTTAAGAAACTCTCAGAAGTTTTAAATCCCTTCGATACAATAACAAATCACTTTCTATATTTTGTATAACGTGTAATATAAAATGCGTAACAATTAGCTCAAGTTACACCGTGCAAGACTTGTGTCACAATCACAGTTCAAAGTTTACTCAACCACTTAACTACAACAAACACCAGATCTTACTCTTATATTTCAGCTGCTATGGTAATCTTTCAAGTGCTTTACACTTTGCTATCTTATCTCAGTTTTTCACATATATAGATTTTTCTTGTCTCACATGCAACGTTTATTCAACTTTTATTTTTCTCTAAACCAAAAATTGTCCTGACTGATACTTGGGGTCTCCTTGTTCAACAGCACCCGAACTGCTAACTTCAGTTTCAGAGCCCAAATATTAGTGCTTCACTTTCAGCCAGGGTAACAAGCATCCACCAGCAGTAACAATAAATTTATTATTCGGTGTTGAAACTGTCACTCGGATTGTTTCGTCACATCATGAAGCTGCTTATCAAAATCTCAAATCACAGACACATTTCATGAAGGAATCTGTTCCGTAGATACTTCTTTTCTATTTGTGCCCCGGTGGTAAACGTGAGAGTTTCCATATCAGCAGTGGACAGAACACAGATAGTCCATTGTATAACTTTGTGCTTAACAAAGAAAATCTTCTCGTCAATCAACTCACTTGAGAACCGGTGTAAATTGTTTAAATCTAACATTTCTTACTTAATAGAAAACTTCTGATTTACCCATAGTAACTAGTTCTATTCATGCGATGGTCTTTTTCATTCAACATAAGAGAAGCCGCAACCTCTATATATTATCTGCCCTACCAGTGAAGAACACTGCTATCATTGACCTTCTTGCAAACGTGCAGCATTACAACAATAACCCTCACAGGTGGAACAGGTATTATCTCTAGAAAACAATAAATGAACAAAGGTATCTAGAATGAAGTCAACTTAATAGTTTTCTGAACCAATTGTTATGCGGAAATTGCACAAATTTAGTGTAAATGAAAACTTTTCAAAAATGTCTACATTAAGATAAGATGACACAAAATGCATGGTATGCCTGCATACCACAACATCACTAAAATCGCTTCAATAACTTTCTCATTTTTATCCTTCCTGTTGAGCCAGAGGTGGTTAAAACAAGAACAAAGGGGTAGAGTTAGAATGCAAAGACACCTCTGTCTGGAAGTATAAGCCTGGTTCACAATTTGTTGTAAAGTTGTGCATAACATTGAGTGTATCACTTTGACATGATTCAATACAACACATGGATGGCATGAAATATTACAAACTATGAACCAAACCTAAAGTGAATCCTTTTCCCTACACACTAAAGCTTCGTAATTTGTGCTCTGTGGTTTGTTCAAGGGAATATCCGATGTTTCCGTTATTATAGAATTAGTGACCTGTCTACTAGTCAATAGGATGCACATACTTGGCCGTTGGAATGAATCTCGAGACTGACTTATTATAGCAACATAGAGTTATTGGATTAAGGTAAGGAATATACAAAGGAACAAGAGTGTTGCTGAAGTGCAACATACAAAAAGCATTGCCATTCAGATACCAACATACAAAAAATTATCATACATCATGATTACAATGTACATAAACAGCTATTACAATATTAATTTCCAACTATTTACCCAACTAGCAGTTAAATTACTCTTAATGTCACAAATTATTGCAACAAAACAATTTACACAGTAAGGAAGCTAAAATGCCTGCTTTATTCACCCTTAACAAAGATTAATTCTTTCGCAAGTTCAACAACATTGAGTTG